AATAAGTAATCTAATCTACAGTGTCTATGATAAGATAAGTGGACTTAGTGAAAAAGAAATAATAGGTGTTTGGGGCGATTCCATAACAAGGGGGGGTTTTGGAAGCAGCTGTCTCCAGCTTGGTGACCTTCTGGGAGAGGGTTTGGATGGCAGAGAGGACCTGAGCAAGCTCGGTCCTGGGTGGTGGAGGGGCAGCCTGTGGTGGCTCAGGTGCGAGCAACCTCTACAAGGGTGATTGTAATGGTTTTTAGGCGTTCGTATGTAAGTTGGATTTGCTCAGTGTCGACTTGGGAAGCAAGGGTCTCTGTGTGAGATGGGTTTCCAAAGAAAGGCAAGGCAATTTGGAGGGATTTCCAGGCCACTTGGGCATGTTTAAGACGTTGTGTCTCATATAGGGCGGCCGATCCGAGAGATCCAGGGGGGAGGGGGTCTTGGGGGCACTGTGGGGCAGCTTCTCGGGGTCAAGTTGGGGTGGATCCGTCTGGATCGACGGACATGGGCTGGGGCGAGCCTCCAGCGGGCATGGAAGAGCGTGGGAAAATTGGATGCAGGTGGTGGTACCAGACAAAGATCTGGTGAGTCGTAGGCCTAGTGTCAAGCGGAAACTCACTTTCGACGAGAAGATGGCGAAACTAAACCTCCTCCAATGCCAAGGACGGCTTCCATTCCGTGGCGTTTATTCATACTTACTCTTAATTATTTTTAAAACTTTTATGCGTGTTTAGGATGGAGATGAGAAAGTTGAGGAGGATGTAAGATGGACGTCGACGACGATATCGTTTCAAGAAGTTCCCACCCCATAGATCTTGGCACCGTCACGGACACGTGCGTGTAACATACGCCACAGTGACAGCCGCGAAATGACTGTTGAATTTACTAGTAGAAAATCGTCAATTATCAAACAAAAAAGGCATAGAACGAAGTCATGTGGTATCTACATAGAAGGAATCTTTCCAGGCCAAAATGCGGGCCCATCCTTATTGCCCTCATACCAGGGCCCATCATGCGCCAACAACACTCTGACACGCGGAATCTCTCCAAGCTGCCTGATGCGCAAATTATGCCGCTCCGCCGCCTCCTTATCGGCATGCGCACACCGGGCGAAGCCGGTGCCTTCAGTGACGACGATGCTTCCCTTGCCAGTGATCAAGTCCCAATGATGTGCACTGTCACTGGCGAGATAAACCCACGCACCGTCGGCGGACGTGCGCGCCAGGACGTTGATGTGACCGGGGAGATGTCCAGCGGCATCGACGATGTACAGGCTGCCATCTTCGTAGAAGTCGAGTGCGTGTGGAAATGGACCGAGTGGTGGGCACTGGCTTGTATCGAGGTATCGAGTACGCTCCGGGGGGAGATGGTTCAAGGCGAGGGCTAGAGGATTTTCGGGAGATGGAGCACTTTTGAGGTGCTTTGAGTCTGCGCCGACGAGAAATGTGCTTTCGGGGAATAGATCCATGTCACCGATGTGATCAAAGTGGAGGTGGGACAGGCAGATGGTGTGGATGTCTGACGGCAGTGTTCCGCCCTTGGTAAGAGATTCTACGACATCCTGTGGTATGCTGACATGAAAATTTTGTTTGATTTGTTCGATGGTGAGGGGCGGCAAATTTTCCCAATCTTTTCGGATACCGAGGTCGAAGATGAATTTACTCTCCTTGCTGGAGTGTTGGAGGAGGAACGATAAAGACGGTACGAAGAGGACGTCATCGGGAGACGCGCTTGTCGTGAATTGAGAAAAATGCAACCTTATTGTCCCGGATTCCAGCGCAGATACATTGCAGTACGCCTGGTTCGTAATAGGCGGAGGAAGGGACATCTGCCTTTCCTTTCGTCCAGCGATTCTATCAGTACTTATCGATTCATCTATTGATCGGTAGGATCATACACACCTGAAGAATTGTCGATTACTGGTCGTTGAGTGTAAGTAATAAGTATATCACATAAGAGCGCTCCTCAGGGAATGTGAAGACATTTTGTTGAATCGACATCATACACCACCAAACCGAAAAAAGTCCTGTGAACCTTGGGTGACCGGCCATCACCTTCTTGCAGATGAGCAGATGAGTGGCGGGTGGATTCTGGAATTCATTCAAAAATAAATTGTGTCGCAGGTGTATCAGGAAGCAGTTGACCAGAATCCAGATGGCAGAAACGTTGCAAAGTTGTGCCAGGTCATGGTTAAACGTTACGGTGCCGTCGATCGTCGTGCACACGGAGGTAAATGCCCTTTGGGGTTAGTGATCGATGACAAATGGTTTCAGGGAGACAGTCGGCACTCGTCGCACTGCGCACAACAACCATGTCGGCCTCCAGCTCAAACCTACCTCCTCTCACGGAAAATGGAGTTTTTTCTGTCTCCTCTTCAATCATGATTGATGCACCTATTGAAAAGGTCTGGCAAATTATGCTAGATTTTCCATCATACAAAGAGTGGTGAGTTCCGTGGCACCTTCACCGTCTAACTGCATTCATCTCCAACCAGGAACCCTTTCGTGTACGCCCAGAGTCTCTTTTCAATGAATATATCTAATATAAATATCAAGTCGCGGCCAGACAATCGTAGATCGTGGTGGAAATGCACTGTCAGACCAGACACCCAAAGCCGGCCAGTACCTCCTGATTGCGCCCGTACACCTACCGCCGACTATGGGAGAGCCCGGCTGGTTCCAGAAACAATCTGCCTTTGAGATGATCACCACTGTGGACCATGAGAACCACCGTGTCGCCTGGATCAACATAGCGTTGCCGAGCTTTCTACTCTCTGCACACCGCTGGCAGGCCCTGAGCGTGGTTGACGGAAAGACCAAGTACGAGACCATCGAGGTCTTTGGCGGGATTTTCGGGTATCTGGTCAAGTTTTTCATGTACGATAAGTTGGTCCTTGGGTTTAATGCGCAGGCAGAAGGTCTCAAGAAACAGGCGGAGAAGGACTAGCCTTGTGGTAAGTCCCAAGATTATTTCTTCATTAGTTTTTTTTTTTCATATTGTAACAGATGCCCTGTTTGTTGACCTGTCCCAAGACACTTTTCTTGAATATGATTTACCAAGCTTCAGCCAAGTGCATCTCGCTCCTACATCTGTCGCCAAATCACCCCAATTGCAATACACGGTGTTTTGTGGTTACATACAGCGCCTTGTCAAGTTACCTAGTGCACTCGTGTATTGCGTCAACATACCAACAAAATACCAACTACGAGTCTTTTGGCGACGCTCCGGGATCATAGAACAAATTTAACTAATGGAACTCGACCCCACGACTATGTGAATCATTGTATCGGAGACTGGTATGTAGCACTTTCAGGTCATCTCAAATCTCACTGAGTTTTCCCAGAGAATCCAATACACCCATCACCATCTTCTTTGTTCGACCAATAGGTAAATGTTCTATATTCTGGCTCCTCTATTTAGTCTAAGAGCCACATTTTTTTAGTTAGGTAACTGACGAGTTCTGACCATCTCTTGCTAGTTTTTGAGAATTTTATAGATTTGAATGTGTCAGCAAGAAGGTCTTACTTGTTTCTCATCATTCTTTAGGTTTTAAAAATAGCTCAGGCATGGTAGAAATTTGTGCCACTGCCATGAAAGATTCGTTTGTACATTTCTACTGCATCGGAGGCTTACAGCACTTTGAGTTGATTTGAAGTCATACTTTCCTTCTTGCATCACGTAACGATCCATCATATTCTATTTAGCTTTCAAAATAAAATGTAATAACCAAGTAAAATTCAGACCGTTGAACTTGGGTAGAATGAAGTTCGAGCTCAAGATTATCACTTTGCAGTGGATGCAGAAAAAAAAGCTCAACCACCGATGGGACTCGAACCCACAACCTCCGCCTTTGTGATTACATGGAATCGCTTAGGAAAGCGACACACTAACCATTGTGCTACGGTGGCATTGGTTGATTTATAAAGAGGAAAGTCGAAAACTTTCGCGCTGTGTCGTCAAACCCCAGCCTACTAACGCTTTTTGTGCCAAATTTTATTATCTTAAGAAAAGGCCTTTAAGAGGTCGTTAATTGATGGCTCATGGATGAGTAGAGTAGAAAGACACTGTGGCGTAGAGCCTGCTGTGAGGTAGCCAAATAGGGAAAATATCACGGCACAGTGCCACAATGGAAGGCTCGCTGATAGAATTGCTCCAAGTTCTCTATTGGTCAATGAGTTGGTACATAAATCTAACTAACCTTTTTTATATGGCAAAAGAATGTGTTGATGTAACGACTGTAGGTAAGTGTGTGGATGGGATAAAAGTCCACTATATCACGTCTGTCACGCTGGGTCTGCGAGTATTATTCATGCGAAGCCCGTATGAAGTCTGATAAATCAAGGAAGAATGGTTGATGTCGAAAGGGTGAAATTTGGCATATCGACACATACATCATATCAAAAGAAAAATAAACTTCGGCTCAAAAATGGATGAAAAAAGGACAATTCTACGAGTGTCCCTCTACTAGGCTGGTCGCGGGAGTCTTTGTGGCCTGATGTGATATTCAACGGAGATGAAATCACTTTCCGAAAGGAATCGGGTCAAGGATGAAGAACAGCCTTCACAAACTCGTCGCCAGCACCACTCAGAGGTTGTTGATCACCTTCAAGTTCTAAAAGCATATCGTTAATGCATGGAAGGCGCAAGAGTTGAATTGACAAGCGGTAATTATCTATCAACTGACGTTAGCCGCCCAAAGTGTCCGTCCATAAATTAATTGAATTAAAATACAGCATACTAGTATTACCCCATCTCCGCTCGTCAAGGTCAACTCGTTGACACCCCGTTCTGATGCGGCTCCCATACCGATGCCTGTGGATCGATCGGAGGTCGTCGACGGGGATCCGATGACGGCCGTACCTGTACGTTAACAGCTTGGATTGGGTGTACGTCCATGTCGACGTCCATTTGATCCCCTTGGTTGAGAGGCAGCGAGTCATCCTGCGGGCTCCTCGAAGCTGATGGTTCGTCTCTACCAGCGCCAGCCTCCTCTTCGTCGTCGTCATCATCATCGAGCCCATCCACATCACCCTCATCGTCACTTCCACAGACGGCATTAATATCCTCCATTGACATATCACCCATAGGGACGTCGCCGTCCGCCGAGTTCGAATTGGGAGTATCTTGCGCTGTCGATGATGTTCCTTGCACGGCCGTCGAAGAGGAAGACCCATGCAACCGCTTGCCACTCGATTTGGCAAGTTTTCGTAGAACTTTGGCAATATATTCCTTTGCAAACTTCTTGATTTTCACGACCTTTTCATCCGAAAGTTTGTCAAGGCGTCCCTCTTTGTAACCTGAAGACTTTTTCTCTTTCTCTGCGATAATCTGAGTTAGCTAATACGGAAGTCAGTAAGGCATTATGCACTAAATAACGGGGGACGCCCCACCTCCTTCGCGTGTTTCTTGAAAGTGTCGTGGTCCATCGCCTTGGAGTGCTTTGACATACATTTCACCACCACTGCACCTACCAACTTCAGTAGTCTCTTCTCCTTGTTTGCCTCCTTCTCCTCCTCCGTCACTACTTTTTTGGGAACTTTCGGCTTCTTGCGGTTCCCATTAGCGGCCGCAGCGGCCTTGCGCTCCGCACGGGCTAGGGCCTCTGCAGCTTCCGCCTCCTCCTTCTCAGCTGCTGCCGCAGCCAGAGCTGCAGCCTCCTTCGCAGCCTCCTCCTCTGCTTCCTTCGCGGCGGCGATGACGGCAAGGATCGATTCTTTCGAGAAGCCGGCTGGTTTGCGTGGAGGTGAGGGCGCGGATGATGTTGGCCGCAATACGATAAGTTTCCCCAAATCGATCTCCGAGTGCTCACGCTCACGACGAACGTAGGGGTTACTAATAGTGCGCCGTGGCGGAGCACTGATGCCTGGCTGCCATAGCTTGATCTCGGACCCCCTGGATCGCTTTTGGTAGCGTTCGTCTTCCTCGCCGTAAATGTAGGTCGATGATTCTCCAGGTGAGGGCTTCCCGTAGGTCTCATCATCGTCATCCTATATTCAAGTCAACATGGGGCCTGGGAAACGCAGAAATATCAATGACCTTTTTCAAGCGCTTGGGTATGCGGTTATATGTTGGCAATGTCTCCCAGTGGTCGATCAGCTATGCAGAATTCAATTTGGCTAATTTAGAAAGAGGCACGCGAGGACGCACCGACTGGGCCAAGTCCTTGTTCGACGAGGTTTCCGACTCTGCTATCTCTTTCACAGATACGATGACACGGGAATCTTCGACTTTATTGCGGTTCAACAAAGGCCATGTTGACATACACTCGAGAGCCTTTACTTTTTTTAGCAGGGCCATATGAAGCACTCATCCTGACTTACTAGTTGAATAAGGTCATTTTCCGACACTTGATCTGCCAGGAGGTTCGTCATAAGACTATATCCACGAAGCCGCATGATCTGCCTTAGAGCAGCTTGATCCTCAGTCATCTGAATGGATTCGTTTGGGTTAGAGTCATACGCGCTGTAAAACAAGATGGATAATCTTGCCTTGATACGCGTGAGTAGCTTGTACAGTACTTTACGACTCTGGGTCTGTCGTATGGCCTGCACGACTTTTGGAACCTCCGCCTCCACTATAGGCTTCATCGTTGGCTACCGAAAGAATGTATGGTCGGCGTCACGTCATGAAAAAACTGTAGGTACACTCTTACCATAAAGTCAGGGTCGTCGATCTTCTTTCCTTTCTTTTTCTTACTTCCCTTGAGCTCCATGAGGTCCGCCTCATCTGTTATTCCAAGGGCTGCAAAGGAAACGTCGAACGATCAGATGGTAAGGGGGACTGAGGATGGGAAGCTCACCGTCAAGGTAAAGATCATCCATGGTTACCACGTCTGTCTGAGTCTTCCCACCGATAAACCCAACACAATTAGATTCCCCGCAATAACATGTCTGTGCTTGATGGCTACATTGATCCATATATAAGCATGTAAGAAGATCATTGAAAAAGAACTGGCCGCACCCATATCGATCTACGTTGTAGTTGAAAGTCAACTCTTCGTGTTTCTTAACGTTGCGTTTTGCAAAAATGCCCATACGGACGTGGTGTCCGACTGTCCATTTGGCGACGTAGCAGTTAGGCTTGCAGCTGTGGTTAGCGAAGCGACCGATTCCCCCGCTCTTGGTCGCATCGATGAACTAGTAAGGCATGAACGCTCAGATAAGAAGTTACGGGAGAGACATGCTTAGGATCACAAACCTCATCTTTCTGTAACATCATAAAGTAGAAGTGTTGGATTCCCTCGTTCGCGTAGTCACGCATCCGCTTCTTGAAAGAGGTCGGGTTGACTACATCGCCCACATACTCATAAATGAAAGCATCTCTGCCCCCCATGTTAGGAATTATCATTTCCAGATGAAATTGTACGCACTTGGCAAGGTCTACTTCCGCCCGCAGCCCAAAACCCTTCTTCTCCGTCTGTACTATCTCAATATTTGAGTATTCACGGTTTTGAAAGCTAGAGAGACCATCGATAGGTGGTGTGTAAAGATTGCGTACGTAATACTGTGCTCACCGTTGGTTCCGACAGTGAGATCGACAGCGACAGTCGTCGGGGAGGCATTCTACTTGTGTTAGACGATTTATACAGTCAGAGTCTGCCCCACAGGCAGAGTCAGGGTCATCGAATTCTGTGGTGGAGGGTAAATCATGAAAAGTCAGGTCATTGTGCGCTGCGGGGGCCCGAGAACACAAAAAAGCGAAAAGCTGAGACACTGACTAGCATCGTATGTACAGTCGCACGTCATGCTTTCCAATGCCTCCCTCGAGCGTCCTAAAGACTTAAATTGGTAGTTGTTGGACGGAATCTCGTTGAATGTCGCCAACGCTGCATCTCGGGCGATGGGGAGATCACCAATGAGCTGCACAGACGGCGCCTGGCCCTTCTTGGCTGTAAAAGTAGTTGGAGTAGTTGCTAGTGGAGGTGTAGACACCATGGAATCTGTTCCATTGGTCGTAGAGGGAGGGGGCGTAGGTGTAGGTGACAATTTGTGATTCTGGGATGAAAAATCGTCGTTTAGAGTTGGCGACGCCGACGGCGAGGGTTCGTCTTCAGCCTTCGAATCCATCTTGACGTCTTCGGTGGAGACATGGAACGATGAGAGACGTTCCGCCTTCTCGGAAAGGTTCTCGACCATCGTTTGGTCGGCCACGCCTGGTGATGGTGGACGCATTGTGGAACCCTGTGTGCCGAAGGGTGATGGACTGCTGGACTCCTCCTCTTTGACCTCCAAGTTGCTGGACATGTTTTCCAGGGAATTTCTTGGCTAAGTTCAATAGCTACCACAGTGCCACCCAAGACGTTGGCGGGGCTAATTTAAATAAGGGATCGTGCAATGGCGAATGCCTAGCACGGCTTTGTCTCTACAGGTTCAGAACTTAGCAAGCCCAGCACAACCACACAAGAAATAGATAAAAGAGGGAGAGAAGCAGGTAAATTTGAGTGGGGGTCAGACGCGGTCGGTGCGGGTACACATGGTTCACTCCGAAGCCGCGAACATCATTCATAAATTTCTTTCTCATCTAGCTCCGTCACTACCGTATTTTTCACTTCTTTGCTCCTTTCCTCGTTGTAGAACGCCACATCCAACGATCGAAAGGGACTATGTCGACTGTAAAGTCTGCATCGAAAAAGCGAAAGCGTGATACGGCGACGGAGGGTGTCGTTTTAAAGTTAACCGATCCGATACCAGGTCCTATTGGGCCCTTGCTTGGTGAGTTGACCATTTCTCAGCTCCACACGACTTCAAGACCGACATTACACTACAGTGAGCTACCCAGCAATCCAGGCACCATTGACGACTGCTTTCCAGTGCTACGCGAATAAGAAAGCGAAAAACGAATCCAAAAAATCAGACAAGAACACTGAAAATGATGAGCAAGACCTGCTAGTCGTCGGCGAATCTCCAGA